CTTCTCCGCCAACCGCTTGCTTTCCAGCGGCTCCAGCTTGCTGCAATGCGTCCTGCCCAGTGCGGCCAAGTGGTTTGTGCTCAACCGCTGCTTCCAGCCCAACTTCCGTCGCGAAGAAGGGCGCGATAAGAAACTGGCCGGTCGGTCCGCGCAACAGGTCTCCACCATGCCGTTTCTTTTTGTCCTTCCGGTCAGGAACCACCAAAGTTCGTGATGGATCCTGTTGAAAAGCAGTTGCCGGTACGTGACCACAACTGCAGGAAGGGAACTAACCACCTACTGAGCATTCCTCCATTGTCCACATCCGGCTTCACTTAGGCCATGGCGGGGGATAGATCAACTAGCAACTAGGCATGCACACATTGGTCGCACATGTAATCTGTTTGAGTCGGCGCAACCAAAGAAAAATCCAACAACCCAAGCATGCCTCAAAGCATTGCACGAAAAAGAAACAGCGTCCCCCGTCTTGCGGTGGTCTGTCCTTGCATGCATGAGCGCCATGCACTTGCCCAGCGCGCCACTCAGCCCAGCCTCTGCTTGGCCCTGGCGAAGCTTGGGTTCTGCAAGCTGGCTTCCAATCAACGAACGACAGGGGAGTCAAACCTAGGCCTGTCGCAAACACTCGCACAGACACACACACACAGCCACCCACACATCCACCCACCCAGCCAGCCACCCACCTGCCCACGCACTCATGCACTCACGTGCCAACCCACCAACCCACCAACCGATGCACCCAAGCACGCATTGCCACTGAATGTGTCCTCAGGCCCGAAATTCAAACAATGCAATTCTTCCTTTGGGCGTTGGAGCATCTGCCCTCTTCGAGCATGCGCTGGGCCACAACTAGTATCACAAGTTATGGAGTAGATGTCAGCATATGCATGTGCTGAACCTATCTAAGTAAGAAACCCTCCCACGCCTCAAAGAGGCTTTTTTGCAGCAGCTGGTGGGAACCAAGGAAGTCCATGATGAAGGCCATGGCATCTTCGTCGAACCTGGGAGAATGCAGCGTGGCTGAACGCGAAATGGAAGGTGCTGGAAACACAAGAACAAAATGCAAAGCAAAACACAAAGCACGGATGCAAGGGAAACAAAGCACAGTGCCATGGATTCAAACATATCGCACCTGCCTCAATCCTCAAACACACGCAAGGAGGGCAGCTGGCAAGGAGGGCAGGCTGTCACGTGGGCTCAACAAGGGCTAGGCCTGCTTCCTTTTAGACTCACTCGCCGAAGGCAAGCAATCTTTGAAGCAACTCTTGCAACATGATCCTACCAGTCACTCAAACCCATGGGCGATTTCATCAGCACCTGCAAACATACAACTAAAGCTGGTAGCACATCCATGAATAGCCAAGCCGCTTCCAAATCCGGGGGAGGTATCTGGCAATCTCAGCACCTCACAGCGTTGGCCGTGCTTCCATTGAGCAAATTGCAAACAGGTTACCATATCTACTGAGTTGGTCCAAACAATCACCTTCTGAACGGCTTGATGTACACCAATGTCGGACACATTTGCCATAGCTTTGCTGAAGCATTCTACTCACAGAAAGCTTGGAAATTCTGTTTGTGAATAATGTGAAGTCGGAGGAATTCAAAGGCTTTCTGGGAACTCACAAGCGGCCCAAGATATGCAAAAAACTGTGCCAGAAGCAAGAATGCCGCACAACATCTCGGCAAGCGTCAGGAGCGTCGTGCACGGTTAAACATGACACATCTTTCTTTGACTGTCCCACATATGCCGAAAATCCGTATTTGCTTCCGGATCGGCTGTACAACATCCTCATCCCCCCCCTCCCCTCACAAAAAAAGGCAAATCACAACCTAGCTCAGATTTGATGCCACCACATCCGGCCCAAAAATATCAAAGTCGCTCCCCGCCGAAGCCTAGGTGCCCCGGGCCCACTCTTGAAAGACCTCCACCTCCAAGCGCATCCGCTGGCGCGTGAGCTTCGCCTCCGGGCCGATGACCTCCGATGGAGTCGAAGTAAGCCGCCGCAGGGCGGCGGCGAATTGTTGCCGTCGGTTTGGTCCGTTTCGGGGTGAAACGGAGTATCATGGTTTCATGGTGTGGAGAAAGGTTCGGGGTTAGGAGGGTTTGTGGCCCCCTGTCATGTCAGGTCCACGCTTGATTGTAAAGGAGCCATTTTGGGCTGTGGTTGTCAACACTGTTTTGGGATCCCAGTTTGGGGTAGGTGAATTCACCACCCGTTTTAGTTGGGATTTTAGTGGGGATTGGGATGTTCACTGTCGGTACCGGATTTTGACCCCATGGCCATTTCCCCGTCAGGTTCCACGCCAATGGATGGAAGGGTGTCTCCAAGGAGCACCTCCAGCTTCAGTCAGAAATGTCTCCTTGACATTTCCCAACACGAGTTGCAGCGGCTGCTGCCATTTGTAAGTGCACGCTGGCGTAAGATGCGAAGGCAACCTTGAGCGATCAGCATGGCATAAGCACGGATCAAGCCTGTGGCAAAAAGGGAATCCATTCTGGCATCATTTTTGCAGGGTACCAACTGGAAAGAAAAGCGGGGCACAAAGCTAAGCTGGGATTCTGACAATCGGCCCAAGTGCTACAGCCCGGCCTTGATAAAGTCTGGGGCCTGCTTCACAAAAACGCAGCGTCCCTGGTCATCCCGCACTACAAAGGCGTAGTTCAGATTTCCACCTGCGCCCAGGTTGCCCATGGGGTCCGAAGTGGGTGGGGCGCGATATGGGTATGTTTTTTTTTGACGTGGCCGTGCCGGGAGGTTGGTATAAGGGGTATGAATCGCAGGTATGGTTCGGGGTATGGCTCGGGGGCGTGATTCGGGGTATGGCTCGCGCGCCTCTGAACTCTTGCTTTGTGGCTTTGGACACTGCAAAGCTCCCGTGCGCTGGCAACTGGATAGCCGTGAGAATTTGGACCGCTTAGTTGCTACAAGCCAGCCTGGGGCGCTTGTGAGTGGCCTGAACTGGACAGCTGCCACTCTGCGTGAGTCGGTTAGCGAAAGCTGCTGCGCTAGGTGGAAGGCGCAGAGCCACTGCCTGAGACGAACGTCATGGCCACTTCCACTTGGAGTTCAAGCGACCCGCGTGCTCACAGACCCAAGCAAGCGTTGCTTAAGGGGAAGCGCCGCTGCCCAGTCAGGCCCGCCACCCGCACCAGTCACGAACCAGCGTAAGCATCCTCAAACGGCAGCCGCGCAGAGGCTAGTGGGCCTCTCACAGGTGGTGTACTGTGTCGCGCTTGATACATTGCAGTAAGCCTTCCGAACCCACCTTCTGGCGAACTTCTGCGAAAAGAGCCGCGAGCTGGTTCCTGCAGTGCTTCTCTTTGAGTTTTGTGTCTTCTGAGGATTTGGGCGGCATAGCTTCGTAGTACTGCCCAGAGCGCAAGAGGCTCTTGCTGCAAATGGCAGCAGAAGGGTGTGAATCGGGGTATGAATCGGGTATGAATCGGGTATGAATCGGGGGTATGAATCGGGGGACAGATTTTTTTCGACCGGAAAGACACCAAGAGTGCCCCAGGAGCACAAAGACAGCTTGTGTTTCACTGCGACAGTGGCCCAGTTTCCACCGCGTCGGACAGACTGCAGCAAGCAAGCTCCAAGTTTCAAGCTCAGCAGCGGCACCCCCCTGCCACAGCGCCCTGCAAGTCCCAGCGTCTTACGTCAAGCTGCACCCCCCCCCCACAGCACCACGGATGCTACAAACAACTCTAGTACCAGGACATCCGCAGGATTGCTCTATAACTCCATCCATTGGCACTTTCCATTGAAAATAGCAAGCCGAGACTGAGGTGGGTAACCGAGTGTCAAGGAACACCACTTGAGCCAAAATGGCCCCCCACGAGTAACCAGCGAGTGTGTGAGTGGACATGTCATCTGTACTTGGCCCCATGACATCAGAGCCCAACCATGCAAGCATCGCAGACTCAAGAACTCGGAGTCCCTACCCCCTGGCATCGGTCCACATGTCAAGCCCTCTAACACTGTTTCTTGACAAGACCCCCTTCTTCACTTGAAGTTAATGCCCCGCAACTTCAAAAGCAGCCACTTGCAAAGCCCCCGCTATTTTGGCTTCTAGTGGCGGACACACAACCTAATTCTGGCATGAGCGAGGCATGCAAAACAGGCTGTGCCCATCCTGTGACATTGCTTTACCCTCAAATTAAGTCACTGCAGTTTAAGCTGCAAACAGTAAACTTCGTTGTAGGAATCACTGTAGGATGGCCGCCGTGTCACCTTGCCTGTGATCTCCTCAGCCTGCAGCTGTGAGCCTGCGACGGATCAATCCGATGGCGTGCGTTCTGGCTTCCGCCGTCGATGCTTGGGCCTTTGACTGGGCCTCACAAACTCACCGCCATGCCAAAAGCTCAGACGCCCGTCTGCCCATCTTCCGCCCGGCCTATCGACAAAGGAGCCTTGGAATGGACGTGCTGAGCTGACTTGCTTTGCGGTTTATGCTTTGAAGATGACGGCACCGGCTGTGACACTCCGGGATTCCCTGGAGCTTCACTTCAACACAGTGGGCATGTTATCTGTCTGACTGGCACTTGGACCTGTCCCTTTTGAGAGGTGGTTTGTGTCAGCTGACACGGGTCCCTACATTTCCCTAAAGGCCCGTAAGCATCACCCAAAAATAGCCAACAAGGTGATCGTTAAATCCCCCGAACCAAAAAACAACAACCACAACATTTGGGCATACTGTCACGGCAGTCTTCTGAGCGCAAGTTGCACCAAGCCGAGGGGGGGCCTCAAAGATATCCCCCGTGCAGCCAAAGGGCGTCTGGCAGGTCCCGCATGTGGACTGCCACCTCAGCACCAAATTTTGGTGCAGAGATTGGTTCAGCAGCGGTCAAGCATGTACATATGAGTGCATACATGTACACATGTGTATATATGTATGTATGTATGTATGTATGTATGTATGTATGTATGTATGTATGTATGTATGTATGTATGTATGTATGTATGTATGTGTATGTGTATGTATGTATGTATGTATGTATGTATGTATGTATGTATGATGTATGTATGTATGTATGTATGTATGTATGTATGTATGTATGTATGTATGTATGTATGTATGTATGCACATGTGGCTTGCCACCCTGCTCTCCAAGTCTTCGTTTGCCCTTACTTGGCATGCAGTGCAAACATGCGTGGGGGTCTTCTCATGTCACAGCCATCTTGGGTTGGTCAACATGGAAAAACAATCTGCTGAACCTCGTGCTTTAGGAGTACCGGTACTAAGAGTAGGTCTATAGGACCGATCCTTCTGTTCCTATTATTTCCTCTTACACGGCGGTAAACGCCGTACTTCAATTCACACCTTAGGCCAGCGTTCCAACACCACCAAATCACTTCCAATCCACTATGGAAACACCCCGGTTGGATGCCTGTGGCCTTTGGCATCACATGACCTTGTAGCCGCGTGACAAAGTCACATACCGTGGTCGCGTTCAGCAGGGTCATAGCTGACACAAACCGTGGCTTTCTTGCGCAGGGCCAATTCCAAGATCGTGTGTCACTGCCTAGTCACTTTGTGGTACGCATGCCTGGCTAAGGTGCAGCTACTGCCAAGCTGTCCACATGTGCCGTGCACAAACGAGAATCAAGTCCAAACACCAAAGCCGAGCCAGTGTCATTGCGGCACTGCTGTGACATCATAAAGCACTGGTGATTGGCTGATTGGCAATATGCAAACAGGATATATTGAGACAAACATGTCCGCAACAGGCCGGCAAATTTGATGTTGGCGCCGGTTTCGTCAGCACGGGGCTGAGCTGGATGCTGAGAATGTCTTAAGCTCGAGCCTTCCAACGGGCGGTTTCCGAGCAGCAATCGGCAAGGCTTGGCTGCAGTCTCCAAACGAAATGGCGACATGTCCGACGTCCAAAAACGAATTGACGTGATTTATTCTGGACCCCTACCCTCAATTCTTGTCTGTAAGGGGCCCCTTATTGACTGCCTCTTTCCTGGTGAGCAATCATAGGGAGCCACAGATCTGACTCAGTCGGACAGGCCTTGGCACTGCGCTCAGAGCAGACACCACAGCACCTCAGGTCGCACAAACTAGCGTGCCGTGATTCAATGAAGGCGCCAAAAGGCAGCAAGAACCCATCATGGCTGGAGCAAGTGCATGTAAGACTTAGAGTGTAAGACTTAGAGTGGCTGAGCCCTGGTTCGTTCAATTAATCAAACGACTTTGAGCATTTCCGTCACCTTTTCTGATGGTAGGCCACTTGTTCAACACACGCCATCATCACCGCGCCGTTGTGGAGTTTGCAAACGAGGGGGGGGGGGAAATGAAGCCAAAATCAAGTTTCCGCACCATTATCAGTATATCCACAGGCGCAACACCATCAAGATTGGGATAGCAAAAGGACCAGCTATTCGCCTGACCTCTCAAGCAACACGCCCATCAAAGCCCAAATCATACTGGGTGCATCCCATATGCTGCTCGAGGCTAAGCATGGCCAGTGAATGCCAAGCTCCGGACTGGGCCGTGCTTGCGAGACCTGGCGTTGCTTCAGCTAATGTGCGACATCTTGCGTGGCTAAACCGCTTTTGGAATGTTTACCAACACATGTTCACCCTTAATCCCTTGCGTCACTCACTTTCCTCAGCTTCCCTGCATGCAGCTTGTATCGGTTGACGGGGTTCCTTTCAATCCTCTGCAAAAGGTAGAAAAGTCTGAGTAAGTCAGCCACTGTCCAATCCCGCTTGGCCGCCCGACCGGGCGTCCCTCAGGGGGCTCCCTGGGCAAGGCTAGGTTTCCAGCGGCAAATGATGTCCGGGCGAAAAGTGTGGCTTCTCAAAGGGCAAATGACAAGCCTGGATGGAACCTTAAAGGTTCATGCACAAGTTTTCGTCAGGTTTGGTTCCACGAATCTGGCACGCAACCGGTGTGGCTCAATGGGTGAAACCCAGGTGCCAAGCGCCGTTTGGTAGGGCCAGGTGGGTGAGTCTGCTTCGGTGTGCTTACAGGGCGCCCACCTCAAATTACGAAATTAGGGGGGAGCTTTTCCGAGGTGATCCACCGAACGGGCGCGTGTCGCATGATGCACGGAAATTGGCGGACGAGGTGAACACATAATTTGAGCAAATCAAAGGAGTGTTGTATCTTGTGAGTTGCTACCTGCTTGGATACGCTTGATCCTTCTGAACCTCTCTCTGGCGCTCCTTAGCAGCCCCAACCAGCCCTTCCACTCCATTCGCGCCCCTCCCCCAGTCTGGTCGGTGGGCTTGCGCCGAGTCCCCGGCACCAGCCACCTCTCTTGCCTGATGCCCATTGCTGCGTGCACACTCAGCTCTGAGCAAGGTGAAACAATATCCTCTTTCAGCCAAGGGAGACACGATGTTTTGAAGGTGTCACTTGAACATTCAAGCGCTCAAATCAACATGTAACATGCTCTCCATCTTGAAGGAGCGTCGGTCCCCCACGCGTCGTTAAGGCACGCACACATGGGGCTGCCACTCGGCTCTTTCCTCGGTATCTGTTGGATAACGCTCAGCCCTGCGATCCGTGTACCCCAATCTGCGTCAATCTACGTCAATCTATGCGCCCCACAATCGATGCTGTATTAAAGACTTCTTAAAAACGTGGCACATGAAACATGAGCAAATGCACAACAGGTAAGCCAACAAAAAAACCACAAAGACGTGTGGCCCGAAGGCGGCAATTCCACATGTTTGCGTCAGAATCCGGCCCCAATACCCTTTTCAGTAACATCACATCTTAGACAAACATGTCTGAGCACTTGATCTGCGCGTGCGCAAGCACGTTCAAGAAACAAACAACCATTGCCTTACAACAACTAAAATCATCATCTCAATGAAAGGCATTGACCATTGACTAGATTGATGCTACGGGCATGCCTCAACTCCCCTTCCGCGATTCGGCTCCAAGCGTCGCCATTGGGCCAATACTTCTGCTCCAGTGGCCTGGCGCAGAAGCGCCCTTTGGGACTCGCATCAAAACATCTCCTCGGGCCGTGACTTCCCCAAACTGACACCAGACAGTACATGCCCCCCTTACTTCCAAGTCCGGCTAGGTTTGGTGAGCAAATCTGCGCATCTTGAGTCTTGCAGGTCGTGCTGGGTCTTTGCTTGCTCTTCCTGAAGCGGGTCCGGGGCTTGTGGACGACCTGCTCCAGTCTGAATGGAAACTAGCTTCGGCAAACCCCTGTTTGTTGGTCGAAGCTGTGGTCAGCAGCGGCCCAAGAAGAAGCCTGAATCTGACCATGCAAAAAATGCTGAATGACATCTCCTTAGGTTCCATGCATCACTGGGCATGCACTATGAGAACAGCCACGGGGAAACAAGCTGGTTTTGTCATCCATTTCGGTCCTGGACCATGCTGAGGCCACACCCTCCTCACTTTGAAACTTCAATGCAAGATGAAGAGATGAATGCCCCCTAACCAGCATCCAAGCTATCCAAACCAAACTATCCAAACCAAACCACCTCAACATTCCTAGCCCAGCCGCCACTACCCACCGGACATCACCGCGACCGCTCTCTGACAAGGCAAGTGCGCCCGTGACCTTTCGGCGTTGGAGCCCCCGCCTCAGACCGTCCGGCCTCAGCTCGGGATCCACGCAGGTCCACTTTCAGTGGTCAGCCTCTTCACTCAGCAAAAGGGTCCCTGTTACCAAATCCCTCAGGCTACTTGCAGGCTACAAGGATGCAGGCTTCAGCCATCGGGAATCGAGGATCCTATCATGCGATTCTGCCTGTGACTAAAACTTTGCCATCGAAAGAACCACTCATTGCTTGGAGTTAAGCCAAACCTGGCAAGTCATTGTTCGCTCTTCTGTCTTTTTGTGTCAGAGTCACGCTTAACAACATCAAGCGAGTGCCAGTGTATCAACTGCATTCTCGAATGCGTGCGTGCAGGCAATATGACACACACACACAGAGCACATTGTGTTCACGTGGAGAAGCCACTGATCAAATTGGACGGGGTTGATCTCTGCAAGTTGAAACAAAGCCATGTCGCGTCTTCCTCCTTGGTGGGCATCCTCGCAAAGGCTTCCAAAATGGCCAAGAACATTCACAAACTCCCACGGGCTTGGAGTTGTTATTCCAACTTGGCCATGCGAGCAAGAATGTATTTCACAACCTTGATGGATAACGGCACGCCTTTTGGCTGCCTCCCATGCTGTGGTGCTAACTCCACAACGCATCGCCACACTGGCTTCCTTTCCCATCGAACTAAACTTCTCTCTGTTGCTGATTGTCACTTGTAGGGGCAACTTCCTGTAAATGGACCCCATCGACCAGCAGTGTCGCCCATTGATCCAACTGCCAAATGAGTCAATCGGCGGATCAAGCTGAGCCATCTTCCTGTCGCCATTCCCCCCCTTCCTGTCGCCACCTCTGCCGAGCCGCGGTTGTTGGCGCATCATCATACCGGCCCCGCACGGCGCTTGCCCGCAGGGTGCAGACACCGAGCCCGCGAGCCCGTATTGCCCGCAGCCAGCGGGCCCACAGGGGCCGCAGGGCGCTGGCATCGTGGCCATTGGCATGCCATGTGGCATGGGAACTCCCGGACCAGGCGCAGGCACCCCGTGCGGGAAGACATACCTCAGTGGGAAGGCCTCTTTGGCCATCTGCGGAATCATAGCTAGCCGTAGTTGGAAAAAGCATCACCCATGTTGCTGACAACAAAGCCCCACAGGACGAAGAGCTTGTTTCTTGCGGTCTCCGCCGGCATGCCTAGCGGCCTAGAAAACCAGCCCAACACCAAGGGCCAAAACCCTGAACCCGTTCATGCATCCCCCTTCCAAGGTGCCTGCCTCGGCCTAAACGAAAAGTGGAGCTCGTTGCTTAATACTTGTCAAACCCATGTTCTCCCTGCCCCGCCCACAAAACCGGCCACGAATACATCAGGCCACGCGGGAGCAACGAAGTTCGCCTTGGGGTAGTCGGGCCGACCTACGTTCGGAATACTTGTGCGATGCCTGTCCAAGGGTTCCCCTTTGCAATTTTCCTCTCGTTATTTTTCCGCAAGAACCAACTTTTCCGTGACGCAATGCACAAAAAGGATACTTCCGCGATTCCTGCTGTTTCAACAGTTGACAGGGGAACCCATATTATGAGCACAACTTGTTCTTCTTTGCTTTGCAGGCCTTGCGCGCTTTCAAAATTGGCAATTTGGGTCATGGCCATTGATCGAAGCAAGCATCACTTGACTTCGTGAATGTCATGCGGACACAGGCCAAGGCAAAGCACGTTGTTTGTGCCAAGCCCCCATGCCTCCAGGGGTACGCGTACCGAAGGTGCCCTGAGAATGCAATGCGTGGATTGGCGTGGATGGCCTCGAACCTGCTTTGGGTGCAATCCACAGGATTTGCGAAGGGCAAAGGGCCCTCAAGTGTGACGAATGGTGCCTATCAAGCCACCCTGCTTGGCGCAAGTCCCATTCAACATGACCTTGCGCGGCTAACTTACGTGTCTGCACATTTAGACCCAGGACTCTCATGCGCATGTAGCATGAGCACAACAGAGATTCTGTTTGACAAATTCGGAACAGCTGCAGCTGCCCAGCGCTCGTGCAACACGCTTTGGATCTCCCCCACATCATTGCTACGCCTTCTTCCCAAACACGCAGGTTAATTGATGGAAAACTCAGGAACCCCAAATTACTCCAACGTCAAGAGCCGCGCCTGTGGCGGCATTGTGCCACGCCTTGGCAGTAGGAGTCAAAAATCGCTGGACAACCTTTGCGCGCCAACATGCCCTGCCACCTGCCCAAAGTGGCCGGATAGAAAAAGAGGGAGCTTGAAATGCTCAAATCTGCTGATTGGAGCTCTGCACTTCATATCAAGGGCCACAGCCAGCAACCAGAGGTTGTTCTAAGGGCGCACATAAGCTGCGAGACTCAACGTGCTATTCACGTCCCAAACTGTGGGCATGCTGGCATGGCTCCGCGCACTCCACAAGGCCACCAGCAGCATACGATCGCCGAATGCCGAGCAAAGCTAAGAGCCCCACCATACCTGCCGGGAATGTTTGGCATATGCAGTCAATTCAATTGCACAAGTTGACGTATGGCCTCACAACTTGGATGCTTGGAGGTCAAGCAACAAAAGTCAGCTTAGCGCCATTGAAGGATTTGCTTCCATGCGCGGAATGCAAGCTTGATGCAAATTTGCAAGTATCGAAAATGCCAGCGTGGCAACATGCCTGTACTAGCGCTGCTAATAACCCGTGATCTCGGAATAATCGCTTCGTCCTGAAGCTCCCGGCAGCTTCCGAGCCGAGCCGAATTACTCAAACATGGCCACTAACCAAATCCCATCAAATACTGCCTGCGGACAGGCTCTACCTTGCCTGAGGTGCCGCTCCCGCATCATAAGGCAGCATGGCACATGCACGCGTGGATTTTGCTGACCCGCAAGCAGCCAGGTTGGTGCAGTCGTTGGTCTCAGGACGTCACAAGCAAAAGGTATTTGGGGAAACGCCTTGCCAAACTTTGTGGAAAGAGTGGTTGCTAAGTTGCTGGATCTTGTTGGCTTCAACACAGTGGAGCTTCATGCAGCTTTTGCATGCTCTATCAGCACTGAACCCATGCAGGAGGCATGATTTCAGTAGAGCTACTTCGGTCGGTTGTGACAGCCATCAATATGAGGGTTGGTGGCCTGCCCATTTGAAATAGCACCATGGCTTCCGCGCGCAGTGCCCTCATCCAAACAAAGGCCGTGCTCGCACCTCACATAGCCATTGACTTTAACGGACAGCACCTTTGATGTCATCTGTCAACTCATGTACTCAACTATTGATGGTGCGCAAAACAGCGGCAATCCAATCTCCAGGGCACTTTTCAGGCACTCGAGTGCTTTGGCTCCTTTCGGCCTGTGGCTTGGCTGGATCACATATTGTGAGGCTGGCCTCGCCGAGTGAAACCTGGAATGTGAGGCATTCCATGGTGTCTAGCATGGCCTCCCAAATGTAAGTGGCAGTTGTTGGGGGGTGCTGGTGTATATCCCGGATATCGAGGATTTGCGCCTTGTGGTTAAGTTTCACGGAATGAATCGGGGCTGCGTCCAGCAAAAAGGGATGCAAACCTACGAGATCTGCATAAAGGTCACTCGGGATCAGTTCGGCTCCACGTCTTTCATCGCCTGGCGCGGCCATCAGGTTGCAAGATCTGAAGGTTTCACCCATGGAGCCACCCCCGTTGACAACGACAGTCACTGACCCGCAGCTCGAGGTCTCTTAAGGCACTCTAAGGCACTTTCAGGCGACTGTTTTGGATTGGTGGTTTGGTGGTTAAGGAGGGGCTCTAAAGATGCTACAGTTTGCAGAGAAGCAAACAAAGTCAGCTTTGCACGAAACCCACCTGCTACCGCTGTTACAACTGCCAACCCCGGGGTTCACGAGGCCTCACGGACCGATTGCATTCGATTGCTGAAGGACATCCGCATCTTCTTGGTGAAGGAGTCTTGACCTTAGAGGTGACTCCACTGCCGTGTATACGGCGCACTTTGCCATGGATTCGTGGATGGGTATTCCATCATGCGCACATCAGTACGGATCCCAAAGAAACATAAGGTTTCGGGTTGGTTTAGATTCGGTTTGCGGGCTTGTTTCAGGCTTGTTTGGGGTCGGCTTCGGGTTAGTTCCGGGTTTGGTGCAGGGCTGCCTCGGCATCTGTCACGAGACCACGGCACAAGATGCGCTGTCGCGGAAGGCTGGGACTACCGGCGTCGGATGGCCTGGCCGTCCATGTTGCACAAGGCCACCGTCACGGAGAGCGATCCCTCGCGAGGACATGAGACGCTGTCTGTTTTGGCCCATGGCTGCCTTAGTGCCTTATTCACTAATCGGGGAGTTGCATTCTTTGCTGACACCAGAACGAGGGTCGAAGCATTGGCTACAGGTTGATGAAACTCAACAAGTCAATGGGGATGTGGGGCTTACTTAGTGTGACAATACCAACAGTGCAGTTTGCAGTCGCAGCATGAACCCTGATCATGACAGCCTGCAGTGTGCTCATTCATGATGGATTTACTTGGACACTCCTGCTCTTCACAGTCCAAAGAGCAAAGCCAAGAAAGCAAGCAAAACATGATGGGCTCGTTTCTCAATAGTTTCTGGGCCCAACCCAAAATGGGCTAGGTTGCCCTGATGCACGACCATCCCAAGCTGGCACGAGGAGTCAAACAATCGCTCTTGGAATGCTTGGATGATTCTGGCCAATCCTCCGCAAAACAGCACCCTTGCAATGAACAGCGTTGCGAAATTCGGCTCAGCTGGCTTGCTGCCAGTGGTCGCGGTATTGCATCCTCTTTGCAGAACAAGCGCAAGCACCCATGTCATGTACGGTAGGGTTTTCCAGGTGCCTTTGTTCAAAGCCGAAAACCCACAGCCACGTCCAGCCTTGGCAACCTGACTTCTGCCTGAGTCGCGACGCAATGAAATGCAACAACAAGCTACGCCCGCAAAACCAAGGGCCATCTTTGAAGAAACACACTGCGCAAACCTGTCCCGGCTGTCTTTACCGAAGGTGGCCCAATGTGCACATGAAGCTCATAACCTGGCAGCAACACATTGGACCTTGCGGTGGCCTCAGGAAGTTAAACAGCATCCACAAAATCCTTTCCTGGGAATCACACTAGCGCGGCTGCAACTCTTTCAAGCTTTCACAAAAGCTTCAGGAATGGCAGCTCGCAAGTGCGGGAAGTATTTGCTGTACTCTTTTTTTAGGTCAGCAGTCATGCAGGAGATGTACTTCTTCAGCTGCTTACTTGCTGGCAGCAGAGCATGTTCAAACCAATCTGTTGGCCACCCCTACCGTCCCTACTCACCCGGAACATTTTTTTGCGCATTTTCTGCTGGCGCCGAACTAGCACGTCTCTAGCGCGCAAATCTGGCTCGCAACGTCGGGCAGCCGATGCAACAGGCAGAAGTTCAGTAATTTCGCGCTGCGCATGCCGTGCTGCCGCTGCTTTCTTCAGATGGGCAGCGCTTTTTTGTGCCTAATTCTGCGAGTGCCTACACAAAGCCTCCGCGACTGGAAGGGGTGCCTACGCAAGCCGCTTGCCCGCCGCTTTGCTACCTCGAGCCTTGTAACTGCGCCGAGTCATTCATTGCCCGCTTTCGGCTGGTGAGTTGCTTAACTGTGGTGCACGACATGCACTTTGGCAGCTCCAGCTTCAAATCGCAACTTTAGAGACAAGTGCATGTAGTACACTCGAAGTGCACCAATTGGCAAGCTTTCACGCATTTCTGACAACTCCTCATGTGATGCATCATGATGCATCAAGCCAGTCAGTTCATGGTTCAGGCTGGGTCTTCTCGTCTGAGCCTGCTGCGCCCTGGCCGACGAGCCATCACAGGATCTTCCAGGTGGAGTTCTTCCTGTCAACTGCGGTGCCAAACCAATCAGACTTGCCCAAGTTCAAGGCATTCAGCAACTGCCAGTGAACACAAAAATGTGCAGTGCAAGAATCGTCTTACACCCTGCATTCCTGCCTTGAAAATCGGTTTGTTTGGGCTTTCTGCCCGGGGTCCACTTCTACTGACTGTCCAGGCACTCTGCAGGGCAGCCTCCAAATAGCCGCATTCCACGATGTGGCTGCCTGCCGGGCATGGACCGTGTACGAATGCTCGGAGCCCAAACCTTGCTCAAGTTGACCTCAAATCCGAAACATTCAAAAAGAACAATCATGTCCTGTGAAGTGACTATAAAACACTTGTCCTCGGTTCTATCTTTGCTCCTGACGGCAACAATAAAACGTCACCAAGGATTGCTCCGAGAAGATTCCTCCCGGCTCTCTCTTATTCTAGCTTCATTATTGCTGCTCAGCTAGGGCTCCACTGCTAGCCCCAGATCGTGGCGCCTTTTATGACGACACTGCCCAAACAATCGTTCTTGTCGAAATCGTAGTCGAAGACTTGAAGCTGCAAATCGTCACCTCAGCACTGCGGACTTGGGCGGTCTGCGCAGAGGAGACGAACAAGGTGTTCCGCACACTGCTCATGTGAGCCCAAAAAGTTGACTGACTTGCTAGACGTCCTTGAGCCACTAGCCCAAACCAATCTCTCAACTTCCTCCATTTTCCCACCAACACCCTGTGCCCCCTAAACGACTGGTGCCAGGTCATGGACCCCCAAACCACAGCCCAGGGCAAGTCCCCACTGGGCTGTGAAATGGCATGATGTTCCAGGGGCATCAAATCCCGGAACACCAACTCAAACGAAACTGGAAAACCTCTCGAAGGTGCTCCAGCTGGTCCTCAAAAAACCTCAAGGAACCAAGAGGAGCCAGGGGGCAAGCTGTACAAGCGTGGATCAACGCGTCGAGAGGTACACATACTCAATGGCTGAGCCACGAGAGAAAAACTGAACGGCTCCCTCAAACCCTGCGCATGCTGTTTCGACGATGGCATAATCTGATGCGAAGACCCACTGTGACCTGTTTGCCAAATGGCTCTCGAGAAAGTTCCGCATCTGGAAGGTCTCTTCCCACTCCGGGCTCCTTGGCTTCCGCTGATCAGATTTATGTGCCGTGTAAGAAGCTTTGCGGGTGAACCAGGGGGGGGTTCCCACCCACCAGAAAAGGATTTTCCAAATGGGGCTCCTGCCTGAAACACCAGAGCATGAGTTCGGGTCGCGCTGCGAAAACTTCATGATCGCCGATGGCTGCGGGTTGACAAACCTGCGTCCACACTTTCCCGCAAACCTAAACTAGCTGAGGCTGAATCACTTTTGGTCTCAACAAGTTTGTGAGCTGCCAAAAGCTAACACGGCCACACTTGTGTCCAATTGGCTGTGGGTCAAAACCCTGCAACATCAAAATAGGTGGCAAATGGAAGTTCATCCACCCCAAAATGGAGCCATAGGGTTCTACCCCATGGCCAATTCTCGGGCAAACAAGCCCAACGAAACGAGCGGCTCGGTCTGCCTGACCGCCGAAGAACCTCCCGAGCCAAGGTGCATGGTCCGGCGCAGCACCTGCGTGTGACACCTGGTGCCCGGCTTCCCCATCAGCTCCACCGCCTAAGGCGCGGCATTGCGCAAGGAGGCCAGCAGAAAACTGGGCCGCCCTCGGATCCCCCGCTAAAAGTTTAACTTTTAGCGTGTTAAATGGAACCCCCCACTAAACACTAAAAGGCTAATAAGCTAAGGGGATGGCTGGGAACCACTAGGCAAACATCGTTCATTTGTAGTGGAAGTGTGTTGTAGGTGTGAAAATTTGCAGGGTGACAGGAGGCCAAACGGACATTGATCATGAAGGGTCCCGCAACGAGTAGCAACAACGACTTTTGAACAAAAGAGCTTCAAACCTCTACCCAAGAGGGCATGGGGCGTGTTTGATGTGACAGGGACCTCAGAACGTCTTCAAATAAAATCTCCTTGAGCCTTGGCCCTCCGGTTGTTGGGTCCACAAGTGACATCCTCAAAGCTATCCTCCAAATGGTGTTGAAAGGGAAACCAATCCCAAGAGTGGCTTTCTGCACCCCTCAAAAGCTCACTTTCAGAAACCCAGAACAAAACCCGTCAACCTTCAGCATTCATCCCTGGCGGCTTTTCATTCGGCAGGAGAATCACGCTTCATGGCGCAGAAGTGGCAATCTTTGAGGTCTCCCCATCTGGTGAAATGTTCATGCGTTCCAAGTTCCAACGCCGTTTTGCCATGCCGCAACACCCGCCACTTGCGGCCACCATGCTTGCATTATTTGTTGCCATTGTGCTTGCTCTCTGCCTGGACGCTTGTGTTTAGCGGCTTGCTTGCTTGAATGACATGCGCCTGAGCCTGACAGCCTGAAAGGCCATGTCCCGAGCTCCATACTAAAATGAAATTGCTATGGTATGGCGGTGTGGCACGAAACAACCTGTCGCAGGTCTCTCCTTGCAAAAAGGCAACCCGAAGCTCAAGACACTCAGTATTTCCCATCTCATCGGCATGCCATTAGCCAACTTGAATTTATGCTGACACCTGAAATGAATCTCACTGAGGCAGCTCAGAATGTCCTCTGCGCAAGCAGCTTGTCTTCTACCCCGTTAAGGTCGCGCACATCATCTTGGCATCCCTTACCACATTTTCATTGCATCTATCCTCTAGCATGCACCTTGCCTGCCAAGTATCGCAGAAACAACACGCAACTTTGCAAACTGGGCGGGGGGCAAACTTTCATTCCAAGCAGCGCAAAAGGGATCTGACATGCCATTGGCGTCCGCCGCACGCAGGTTCTTGGCTCTGTGCACCTAGTCTGGGAAGGAAATGGTGCCAATGCCCCCCTCCCGCACCGTCTTTGCAGTCGCCCTGATTGGACTTGAATCAGGTCAGTGGCGTGGTGGTTGGGGATGATGACCCAGGCCCGAATTACTTGAAATGGCCATGGGTCAAAACCCCGTACCCCCAGTGAACATCCCAATCCCCACTAAAACAGACTAAAATGGGTGGTGCACCTGTCCCAAAATGGTACCATTGGTTTTGAACCATAGACAAATGAATAATTCTCCAAGCCTGAATTGAACATGTTCAGATGCCCCCTCCCAAAATGTCCAAGCCCACGTTGGACAAGCCGCCGTGACGCGCAAGATCTCTGGCTTCCTCTCTGTGAGGGAAGGGCCAACAGCCATAGATACACGAGGGGCGACACCTGGGAGCCACAAGTCGATTGCCCGATGCATCAGTCACCATAGCTTTTCTAGGACATCGATGGAACTGGCACCATATGGGGTGACATTGTCCAAAGTGTGCATTTGGTCTTACAGCCTAAGTAAAAGTCGGGGTGAATTATAATATTTCACCAACCTGAAATAAGGTGGCTGGGGGAGGGGAACTCCCCACGTAAACTACCATTTGGGTTGAGGTCGTGTGAGGTCGTTGTGATTCACCCGGAAAAGTGTTGCCACGAGGAGGTTGTTTTTTTCCAGCCCTCAGCAGGCATCTGACGCAGACAGGCCACGCGCAACCTTGAGGGATGTGGCCTTCTCCATATGGGCTTCCTCCTGTCATGGGACGGGCTCAACGAAAGCGAAAGCAACCAACCAAAAGCATAGAGCCTTTGAGTCCGCCCCCCTGCCTCCCAAATATCTCTAGGAAGTGCTTCACAGGCAAAAGGCTGAGGCCAAGCCTTCCGCTTTTGGCCGGACAATCCTTGGCATCCAAATCAAACATGCAAGCTGGCATCAGTCCTCAAACGACTTGGGGCTTGCCTTCGCCTGGCGCCCGCCCATGTCCGGAAGATACGAGAAGCCGATGTCAGGTGAAGCAAGCGGGCTCGCAGCAGATGTTGGGCAAACGGCATTCCAACAACTGGCTACAATGAATTCTAATACATCTCAAGTTTTGCAAATTCTATTACATTCCATTCAAATATGCCCTCTTTTGCTTGGCTCTCACTCAAGTAATTAAGTTGCGTGATGATCACACTTCTGCCCAGCTGCCGAAGCACTGCATCTTTCAAAATGAGGAGGGGTTGTAACCACGACTGGCAATGGAATCTAAAACCGCACCAAAAACTTTGGCACAACCCCTCCCCCCTCCCCCCCCCCCAAAAAAAAAAACAAGCCCGACAGCGCATGTTTTTGGCCCAAACGTAGTCGATCTGCACATTTTGAGTTAGACGGCCTTTTGACTAGGAACGACGGTTTCGGCACTAATCAAACGTGCGCATTTTGAAGCAAACGGCCGTTTGACTAGGGCGAATACGATATTTGGGCGCTGGATCTTTGGATTTTGAATCAAACGGCCGTTTGACGTAGGAAAAGCCGATATGGGCGCTGCATCTTTGGATTTGAGTCAAACGGCCGTTTGACTAGGAAAAGCCGACTTGGGCACTGTATCTTTGGATGTTGAGTCAAATGGCCGTTTGACTAGGAAACCGCGATTTGGGCGCTGGATCTTTGGATTTTGAGTCAAACGGCCGTTTGACTAGAAAAAGCCGATTTAGGCGCTGGATCTTTGGATTTTGAGTCAAACGGCCGTTTGACTAGGAAAACGCGATTTAGGCACTGGATCTTTGGATTTTGAGTCAAACGGCCGTTTGACTAGGAAAACGCGATTTAGGCGCTGGATCCTTGCATTTTGAATCAAACAAATCAAATGGCCGTTTGAACAAAAAGGCGATTTGGAAAACCTCAATGGACAAATCTGTGTTTGAAAAACACAATATGGGTGAGAGAAAAACCTGAATAAACAGATCTGTGAGAGAAAAACCTGAATAGACGTGCTGTCGGGATGGACAAACTAAAAATTGTCAGTGTTTATACGTTGTATGGTCGCTGTTCCACAGTATCTGTCATTGTTACCACTCCTCCTGCTTTCAAAATGCAGCCTCGGCAACGAAATCAATAATAAAGCACACGTCTCCCGCCATTTGAGGTCAGTGCCGTCTGAAGGGCACGCCACCGACAATGCACTTCGGAATTTGTCGCGAACCAAAAAAACACATTTGCCAACCACTCCCAGCTCCGCGTCAGGCTGGGGCCTGTCTACCATTCTCTGTTCTTCCAACTTGAAGTGAGAGCAGTGGTCATGCCTTTCTCATCTCAAAAGTGCCTTTCCTAAGCATGGCTGAAAGACTTGAAAGCTTGCTGCATGCCAATTGTTTCTGCAGCGCACGCGCGCATGGGTTCAGATCCGAACATCAGTTTCAAAGCTGCAAGCAGGAACTCCCCGCCATCCGAACAAAGCAAACCCGAATCGGGCGAAGAACACAGAGCGCATCTCGATTCAGCTCAAGAACTACCTTGTGCACTCCTATTTGTGTTTCGGGGGGGAGGAAGACAGGACTTCAAAACAAGAAGCCAAAAAGCCCCAAATCAAGCCGCCTGTTGCAAGAAGCTGCCCTTCATTTCCCAAGAAGCGCCCCCTCGAAACCCCGAAGCCCGCCTCCTCTATCACCAGCCGCGCAGCCAAGGCCTTGACCTCGTGCTCCTGACTCGCGAATCTGAGATTCACGCCTCGAGTGGGGAGAAGGGTTGGATGCTTGCTTCGAGAGGGTTTTTCGCTCATGTGACGAGCCTCGGGGAAAAAAGGAAAGCCCATATTACTCACAAAGGTCAAGGTGTGCACGAAACTCGGAATCGGCGCATATGATTTGCATACTTGCTGCAACAAGTCCGCAACTCCAAAGCAGCGCGTTGCGAATCTCGGCAACCAAGGAAGGACCCAGTTCCGCTGCATATCGCCAAGCCATGACCATGGGCTATGATGGCAAGAGCTGCCCCCCCCACAATGGATTTTACATCAGCAACAAGAGCAACTCACCTGGACAAAGAAGTAGTGACATTGAACCGAACCAATCCTGGAACATGCCGCTTGCCACCCCCTCATGGCATGTGCGCCTGGGACTCTCGGTTCCGCGCCAGCTCCGCAAAGAGCGTTCGCTTGTGCCTTGTGCGTGCGGCAGCCAAATGAGCTGGGCTGCCCCAAATCCCCCGCTAAAAGCTTAGCTTTTGGTTCAAATGAAAAAACTGCCACGAAACACTAAAAGGCCAAAAACAAGCTAAGGGACCGGATGGCTGAGTGCCACCGAGAATGAATAGCCCTTGACTGCGCCATTCAAGAACTTGGCATCCTTCCAGCAGCAAAATAACTCGCTGTGGGTCAAAAAGATGTACCCAAATTGCAGCTTGGCAAATGGAAACAGAGACTAAAACCTGCGTAACCCCAGCTGTTTAATTTGACCCACACCCAACTCTCTGTCGCAAACCCCTGTGACTTCTTTTGCGCTTCTGCATTCTGTTTGTTTGTTTGCGGAGTTGCTACCTTGCAAAAAACATGCGCGCGGCACTGGTGCTCGAACACCTTTGGGAAGGAGGTGAATGATTGAGGCATTGATTTGGGGGGTCGGGATGGGCCAGGATGGCAACCGGTCCTATCTGAAAACCCGCTGGAAGGAGACCGGGCCGATAGCAACATCACAGAATGCCTTGAAACATGCGCCCAACATGCCCACTGGCAGGATCAATTGAATCCCTGAGATCGACTTCAGTAATTAGCCCAAGTTAGCAGAGGGATTGGGAACCTCAGCTGTTTCCAACTTATGGCACATGTATGCGTTTTTTTGGGCAAACAAGTTATCAACTGCGAGCATCAGAAGAAGATGCCGGCGACGTGGGATTGCGACCAAAGCGGCAGCTCTGACAAGATGTCCGCAGCGCGGCGGCGCTTGGCGACGCCCTCCTGGGATCTGAAAGGCTCATGCCGCAGGGCAATCCAGTGGTGTCTACTCTGCTGAAAGTCGGGAGCTGTTTGTTCTCCCCCCCCCTCCGCACGCCCAGGAAGAAACAAGATAATTATACAGTAAAACGGAAACAGAGTCACACACACACCAAAACCGACCGGGACCGGAGCTCACAAAGAGGGCCAACCGGCCAAAACCGAGGCAACTTCTGCCGGGTCTCCACATCTGACACTGCCAGCTGCTTGGACTCGTTGATCTTCGCATGCCGCTGCTTCTCCTTCAGCTCCTTCTTCCTTGGGAATCGTCAGGCATCGGCGTGCTGCGGTGCCAATCTAGGTCCTCCAGTATATAGAGAGGTTGGAATAAGGGTACCTTTTTTTCTGTAGTCTATCTTAGTAGGGGAATTCTCCCCCAAAAAAGGGTAAAAGGGCACTACGGGGGGACCTAGCAATGGCACAAAGAGGCAGCTGTCATACCAAGGGAACGCGCCCAAGCTAGGCTTCTGCAAGTCTCGTTGGGCATGTTACAGCTGCCTCCGAGCTGGGAACGAATACAAGCAATCTGGCTAGCACCCGTACACTTGCTGCCGAGCAATCGCACTTCTAATTTGCGGCCGGCGTGCCAACACAACCAAGGCCATCTCTCCTGAAGGTCATGGTGGATATGAAATTGTCTTCTCCTTCATTGTACCCTTTTCACTTTCGTTTAAAAGGCGAAAAACACCGACGGACGCCATGGATTTGTGGGCTTCCCCCTACGACAACCAAGCACTCGGCGCCGAGGCTCCGCTGGTCCAGGCGCTTGTGCGTCTCGGTGCCCCCGAGCTGCAGTGAGAGGCCCTTGTTCGCCAGAGCCTCGTATCTCGCCTGAGTCCGAGCTCAGGGGCCCGCCTGCTGCCGAGTCATCTCCTCGTTGCGGTTTTGCTGGCCCTAGCGGGGGGTCGCTAGATGGGCGGCGGCCTAACTGCTTCCTGGACGTGTCAGGTTCGGGGAGAACTACTGGGAATGCTTGTTGTCTGCCTTGCTCCTGAAGTGGCCAGGGTCCGTCAACGTACTGCTTGCACCCAAATTGCCCAAGAACCTGGTTAGAAAAGGGACTCACACCCTTTTTGACCAGCATTTTCAATCACCAAACAGGTTTTTTTTTTGTCAGGGTGCCGTTGAAGAACTGGGGTCAGCCAATCTGCGAGTTCCGCCCCTGCTCTCCAAGACGCTGCCCCGTGGTCTGCATAGCGCTGTCCGCGGCTTCGGGCAATGAGGGAGCCTAAGCTGCCCCGCTCAGGGAGTGCTTTCAGAGCAGGAAACATCCGCAGGGTTTGACTCATGCTTTTAATGGGGTCTTCCGGATGGCTGCGCTGGCATGGTTGGATAGGCGTTGGTTCAATGATCCTTTTTTAGGCCCAGTCTGGAACCTACTGCCTGCTTGGATCAAAGAGATACGCCACAATGCCACCGTAGCCTTCCGCAGACTGATGCAACAGGCTCGAAGCCACCGGATCTTTAGGGTCTCGCTCAGTTCCCCCGAAGAAAACACTGCCCATACAGGAAACAATCCGGCACATCAAGCTCAGTGACAGCGGCAATTCCACACTCTCCCCAGCCACGGCGCATTTACCCCCAAGCATCTCTTCATCCTTAGAGGCTCGGATTCAATGGTCCTGCAATCCATGAGTTAACGCCTTTCGGGCCCAAAGTCCACTGCCTGCAATGTCTTGAAGATCCGACCCCATGTGCGGAAGAAAGCAAACACATGCGCATGGAACTAAAGAAAGGCACCTCTCTTTGAGAAGTTTGAAGTCCTTTTCCTGTCATCACGAGAACCGGATTAAAGGAGCTGTAATGATGACAAGTGTGCAAGCCCTCCACTGTCCCTTCCCAAGAGCTTCATGTCTGGCCCATTCTCCAACTCCTTGAGCAGACATCTAGCCAGGACTCATCAGCTTCCTCCATCTCTTCTCGCAGCTTCCATCGGATCCACGCCTGGGAAAAGATCAAGACTCGGGAGGAGTCAGGACGGAAACAAGCCACATCACTCCGCAGCACTGGCAGCTGGAGGGCCCTTGAATGTTGCACATGTCTAAATCTGTCTTGCACGTCTTTTAGGGGAGCTTTACCCTCACAAAGGGACCCACGAAAGTTCAGTGCAGGGGGATGTCTCGCACAATCCTGATTAATGATGGTCAAGTTAGTCAATTCAGGTTCATGCACAGTTGCCGCTGTCTGCAAGCATGATTCAATTTCTGCCTCCCATCAGATCAAGGGCTGACCAAAGCAGCTCCGACCAGCGATAGCTACGCAGCGACGTGTGAAGTTTCTCGCTGCCTCCTCCTCCTCACGGATTCCTGGCTTCTTCTCTTTGGACCATGCAAAGAGCGGCCTGCGAATGAAGGCGCCAAGAATTCACAAGGACCATCGGCCCGCATTTGCTTACCATTGCTTGCTCTCCACTCACATACATGGAAAACCAACTTGATTTCAGCCAAACAGCTGAAGTCTAAAGATCCAACACCCAATTAGCAATCAAGCCGCGTCCCTCATTGATTCTTGCCTCAGACCTGCGAGATGCCAAACTCCATAGTGAAACTGCAAAACATCAGCGCGGAGGCTCGCTCCGGCATCCAAAAAGATGGGAACACCCAGAAGCAGCCCTGCTGGTCAATGCCGAATGTTCTTGATCGCTGTTGACCCCCCTGCAAAAGTTTAGCTTTTTTGGGGGTTTAGTAGAAAACACCGTTCTTTCCTAAAAAGTTGAAGTCTAAAGGTCCAACCCAATACAGTAGCAGTCAAGTGTTTTGGACCTTCAAAGTGCTGGCCAGTCATCAATCTCCAGCCTGCATCTCGACTTCGCGCGGGCGATGGAACTGCGCACCTCCGGCTGAGATTGCAGAGCCCCAAGCCCCAAAGCCCCAAAGCCCCAAGGAATGTGCACCTCCGACTCGGGGACCTTTTGCATGGCTTCAAAGCCTCTTAGATTCCACAGAGGACATCGAGAGACATCTAGCTGCTTGGAGATATTGCACACACGCAGATAAAACAGTAAAACATCAGAGCTTCTGGGCCCTTCTTACATTAAAAAAGGCAATCGATACCTTGGGATCAGTTTGTCGCTGACAAATATGCACATCCCACACCCTTGCCACAAAAAAACAACAGCTAACGTGCAAGCCGTGCGTGACTCCTTAGCGCACTTCAAAAGGACACATGGAACAGAATGCCCTATTGATCAGTATCAATATGAGCTCTTTGCGCCAAGGGGCGCGCTCCGTGAATTGCTCCCGTGTAGGAGGACCTCCTCGATAGGTGGCGGGGGAGGTGTAACCTCCGTGGCTGGTCCTTGGGCAGTTGACTGGATGTTTCAGGGCTTATAAGATCTGCCTAGGATAGGCGAAACAGAACTAATAGAGCACATTCGAACACACACAGCAAAAACAAATATACATCAAATGTTGTTTTTATCCTCCTGATGGACATGGAGGCACCCCTCAGCTTACCACTGCTGCATTGGACGCATTTGCGCAAAGGGATGCACTGAAGGACGCGCTCTCTTGGCCATAGGCGAATAAGACTATATGACTGGGGTAAATATTTCGACTGGTGAGCAGCTGGAGTATAGCTTGGCCATGATTCTGTTGTTCTTGGGACAGGCTTCTGGTTGCCGTTCCCCAATGAACAAAATGATATCCGTGGTTCACTTCTGCAGGGGAATACGGCCAAGGCAAACACACGCAGGTCCCAAGCAAACATGCCAACAATAACCTTCAGTGTGGCTGTTTCTATTTCATTTCCAGCACCTGCTGCTGCCTCACCACGAATAACATCATTCCCAGCTGTCTATATATCTTTGTTGGTTTCTGGCACTCCGTGCACATGTATTTGTGCATATATATATATATATACATATTAATAGACATGTAAACACTCTTGCTGGTCTACTTACCACTGTACTGTATGGCATATTCGTGTCTGCCGTGGACCATGGATGGTAACTCAGGCTCCGAGAGGCTGAAGGTTCGGAGAGATCGGCTGGAAAGCATCTGGCCTGTTCAACTGGCCCACATCAAGCTGCGTCTGCAAAGTGCAGGAAAGGGAGGCAATTGCAGTAAACAAGAGCTCTTGCAGCAAGCAATGCAGCGCCAAACTCAAGGATCAGCAACTTATTTGTCTAGATGGGCGCTTCCAGGCGAAGACCGAAGAATGGCAAGGTCTCCAAAAGTTGGCAGAACAAAAGAAACCCCAAAACAGTTCAACTTGCTGGTTCTCAGCAGGGAATGAGGAAATGACGCTTACAAACCATCCCTTATGGCTTGCTTTAAGGGAATTCTTAGGTTCATTTTTAACATCCTGGATCATTCCCTGCTGAGCACCAGCAAGTCAAGAATGCCATCCCAGCCTCGGTGAAGCTTGGACTCGAGAACATCGCTTCCTACGCACACGAGCGGATTCCCTAGCCTTACATGCCAATGTTTTTCCCAGAGGGGTCACACCATGAGACCCTCGTAGCGGCATCGTTGTTGGAATTGTTGACGGCTTTGCTTAGGTTGCAAGAAGCATGGTTCCTCTCTCACGTCACGAAACAAATCTGAACATGCCCTCAGCTTGTGAACCAATGAGGCTTCTGAACAGCACTTGCCAGCAAAACGACTTGCCCCCACCAACACATGCAACCGTGGCAGGTGTTTCAGGTTCGCATTCTTGAGGCCAGTGAGCACGGCCGCGCCCACGTCCAACACGAGACATGTCTGGCACTGGGCACTCGTGGCGCAGAAGCGGCTTCGCTGCGAGCGTCCAGCCTGGTCCCTGGCTCCGCATCGGCTGCGCCAAGCAGCCACAGAAGTGCACCAGCCTTGACCTCAAACGGCCCAAAGCAAACAAACGTTGGAAGCATGTGTGGCGACCAAACAGGGAGACAGGACAAAAGTAAGAAGTGTGATCCAGCCTTGGCAGCTTCTTATGTGCAAAACATCAAAATGTGAGTGCCTTTGCTGGGTCTAGTTTAAAGGGGTGCCGAGTGCCGGAGTGACTGAGTTGCCCCAGGCTGGAAGGGTGGCTTGTCCAGTGGTGCCAGCCGTAGAAAATGCTCTCAGTGCAAGGCTATACACTTCCCACTGGCCCCACAGCGGGCAATCAAGGAGAGCTGTTGGATGATGCTGAGTGCGACATACGGGCCCCAAATGACTGTCCGGCTTAGTGTCTAGGACAAAATGGCACGGACAAATGATCAGGAAGAAAACCCAATGTTGGGCCCTTGTGCAAAGCAATCGCTGCCGACTGAGCAAGATGCTCAGAACAAGCTGTCCTGGTGCAATTTGCATGATGTCCCCTAACGCCAAATATGAGATGATGGTAATACCTTGGTGCAAGGCCCATCCCCGGGATTCCCTTTGGGTCTTGGGTGAGTTTGCCGGCTCTTCTTCCCACGATCCATTTCTGCCGGCTCTGCCTTCTGGCCGTTGCTCTCCATGCCTGGCAAGCTGAGAAACCGGGCAAGCCGAATCGAATCGAGATGCGGCACAAGGGAACCAAGTGGGTACGGTATGGGTCACAATTAAGCAACCAGACCGCAGGTTTTGGAGCTTGGTTCCATTTGGCAGGGCTCCATTTTGGGTACATCATTTTGACCCACAGCCAAGTATGTTGCGAATGCGCCTTCTTTCTGTTTTGAAAACGAGCATCCCCCCCAGACTTGCGTTTGCCGTTAATATGCACCGTGACCAAGAAGCACCAGACAATTTGGCTTCCTCAACTGACGTGCAGCTAACCCTGGTTTGTATCACAAGCTGTCACTGGGGAGCGCTTACATCCAAACAAAGTTTGGCCCAACAACTCGGCCTAGAGCAGAGGCAGGCTGGCCCCCAGCCATGCCATTGCCGCGCCGAGCCAAGTTCCCTCGCCGCTTGCTGTGGTTCCAAAGAAAGCGCCAAGTTCCCTCGAAACGCTTGCCGTTTTGTTTTGGCCAAAAGCCATAGGTCCTTCAAGCAGTAAAGCCAGCGCTTGGACTTCAATGCCCAGCTGACGGTGTAGTTCATCTTCAAATTCAAATCCTTGCAGATTCGGATGGTCCAGCCTCGGCATTGAAAAAAATGCGAAGGGTAAAAAAGACGCTGCGCAGCCCGCATCGCAATTGCTTTCTCATGCCAGGCTGCATCCACTGAGTACATGGCTTGAGCCGCAATGTGGGAACCACCCGAGCTGGACCCAGCAGGCTTTGCAAGATCATCCTTTCAAGCCCCTTGCCCTGCAGACCATACCACCTTGCAAAGTTAGAGTGGGTCTCGGCATGCGCGGTATGGGTCAGCTTGCCTGCAGGATCTCCCTTGAGGTCCGCAGTCATGCGCGACTTTTCCTTTGTGAGATGCACCGGA